TTGTCGTTTGTACAGATGGTGCCTTCTACCAAACTCCCTGTCATCTAGTCTATTCCCACTCAGATACCCTGTAGGCAGACCAGAAAAGAACTGATGCCTTTGAATTGTGGGGCAGGAGAAGAATGGACTGCTAAAAGGACAAACCAATCCGTGTCGGAAGAAGTAAGGCCACAATTGAAAGGCACCAATTTTTCTACTTCCTTATTCATTGTCCACCTTTAATATAGTGAGGTAGTTGGTTTATTGTGCCAACCTGGCCAATAAACACATGTGAGATTAATTGAAGGGCGGTGGGATGACTTGGTGACCCTTGCCTCTCTAGTTTTTGGGTCAGTCCAGGGTGTGGCTGCCTTAGCTAGTTCCCTGCTTCAGTTGGCAAGGCTCACTTCCTGCAAGACATCCCCAAGGAAAAGCCACATGGACCTACCCCGATGCAGCCCTGGGCGCAGGAGCAGCCCTGTGGAGACCATTGCCAGCACTGAGATGCTTACACGTTCACTGACTCAGCTTTCCTCCTGCAGTCGGCATCATTGCGTCTGTTTTGTGAGATGGAGGACTTTGTGGATTGGTGTTGGACATATGGGTTAATGGACTTGTGGGTTTGGGCAGCACTGGGTTGTGGTGTTTTCTTGATGTGCACTTAACCTTTATATAAAAAAACTCTTACACATGAATTTCTGTGCGTTGGTTTCTCTAAAGTACCCAGACTAACACACATAGATATGAGGCAACTGAAAATACCCTGGCTTGGGTCAGGTGGCCATTAATCCTCAAAATAACATCTTTGCTTTTCAATACCCTGAAGGTTATGTGTAGCTGATTTACCTAAAGCAACACATCTTTTGATCACCTGCTTCCATGAGCATTTGATTGTGGATCCAAGAAAACAAAATCCTTGACAACTTCAATGTTTTCTCCATTTATCATGTTACCTATTGGTCCAATTGTGAGGATTTTAGAGTTCTAATCCATATTGAAAGTAAGGTAGCTTGTATGTTGCTGTGATGCTGGAAACGTTGTCCCTGGTATTTCGAATGCCAGAGCAGGGTCGCCCAAACGGAACGGGTTTCAGTGGAGCTTCCAGACTAAGATTGCACAACGAAGAACTCAGTTGGAGGAAGTAGCTGTTAAAACCGTATGCATAGCTTTGAAATATTGTTAGGCATTGAAAGCCCTGTGAGTGGAAGCAAAACATTGTGGGAGTTAGTGCCTGAGAATTGGGCCCCTTGGCTGGAGGGCACTTGACATCACTGAGGGGCTGCGTTTGTGGAGTCAACCATGCAGACAATGCCTGTGGGAGGGGAGTCTTTTCAATCTTCACTTGCAGATGGGCCCGACTCAAGGTATGCAGAAACAGCTGCAACAACAAGCCCAATAAAAAACACGCCCTCCTAAGCCCTCCCCTCCCCATCACCATAATCATTTCCTTTTTCTCTAGGAACTTCCTACATTGTTTGTGAGAAAGCAAGATTTCTTAGAGACACACCAAACATTAGTGTAACAGAATATATGTATTGTTAATTAACAGAATTTGAGTCAGGACAGAAAGTAGATTAGACAGATCATTACTTTTTCTCAGAAGGTAAAATCACATTAAGGGGAGATTACAGAAATGGTCACCAAGGGCTTGTCGGAGTAATCCTGAAGCAGCATCTCGTCAGACCCTGGAGTTCTTGCTTCCTGAAACTGGCTGCACACACTTCTCCAAGAAAGCAGCTTTCACTGAGCTCCTCTAATACGTCATTCAATCTGCAGGGACTCCAGGAGGTTCACGTCGACCCCTGAAGCCAAATGTCTGGTGCCCCATGCACCCAGAAACGTGGACTCGGGGAGGACAGGTGTAGATGTTGCTCTGAATTCCTAACTGAACCAGAGCTCGTTCCAGGTCTACAACTTTTGAGTAATTTAAGTGAAGATCATCCAAACAGCAGTGGACTCCATCTAGCCAGTTTACCTTTCCATTGGTAGTTTTAATTTCCTCATTAGTCAAAATGTTCAATTTAGCGGTGGGGTGTCAGTATTCACTCTCTCCAAAGTTCCCTAATTAACAGAGGTGTATTAGCTCACTGAATATCCTGTTTAGTTTCTGCCCCTGGATATAGTGCCCCTCTTCTGAAAAATCAAATTCTAGTTTCAGTACAAGTGCTGTTTTTCTTATTGGTATTTGAATACATGTTTCTACAAAGGTGTGAGAGATTCACTTTGAATGGGGTTACAGAACAGCATACACTAGCCATAATTCAGTATGCTACCTGTGTTAGCCAGGGTTCTCTAGAGAGAACCCAGATTGCTAATAATTTTATATATATATTTATACAGATAGTTATATTAACACTAGAAATAAAGTTAAATTATAAAGCAGTACAAATGGCTCAGTGCAACTAACTCCCGTGACACAGCTGTGAGACACTGGCAGTCCTTCAAGTCTTGAGGGCCACCGGGTAGTCCTCTGTAGAGCAATTCAGGCTATCCGGGCACAGGCAGCAAACAGCAAGGTGGGTCACCAACAGTCAGCAAGATGACAGGGTCCGACAGTCCCCAGCTCAAGAGATGTAAATTCCAATGGTGTGGCGAAGCAGGTCTTGAAGGAACCTCAAATTACAGGAACACAGTCCACGAGTTAGGTGTCCCACAGGTAGTGTAGCTTGAAAATAGAGGCACAGAACAAGCAAGGCAGCCGCACACTGCTCCGATGATCGAAGAGCAAGAGACAATAAAGGTGAGGCTCGCCGAGTCATTTCTCTCTCCGCCCTTCAATTAATCGCACATGTGTTTATCGGCCAGGTTGGCACAATAAACTACCTCACTACCTAAAACATTCATCAAATCTGCTACATTGTCTTCCTGAAGAGTATGTGTCCCTCTCTTTGGATTTATCGTCACATGGTCCAAATGGATTGTTTACAGTCAGCATGTTCTTTCTCACATCCCATCACTGAGTTGACCTGATGGCAGTTGAGTCGCCAGTGCTCTGATGGCACTGTCTGCTAAACACTGGACTGTTGAACCACAAGGTTTGAGGTTCGAGCTTAGCAGGTGCACCTTAGGTTTAATATGAGGCTACTTGTGGCCTTGTAAACACTAGATAGGGTCACTAGGTTAGAATGAATGTCAGGTTTGGTGTGGGATCACAATTCAGTTCAATATGATTTAGGCCTAAATGGCTGTTAGATGGGCCTGTTACAGTCATCTGCGTCTTATAGGAGCACCAGGGGAGGTTTCCAGCCTCTTTCATTTGCAGGGGCGAAGCAAATGGGGGGTGGCTCAAGCTCACCTTGGAAGGCTGCGTGGAGACCTACTACCCCAAACCAGCCATTGGAAATCCCTATGGAGCACAGGGGCACTCTGACACCCAGGCCACCATCGCTCACTCTACTTTGCTCCCAATCTGAAACTGGTACTAGAGAGGTACTGTCATTACTGTGACAATTATGGTTTCCCAATTTCACTTGAGGACTTTTTACACATTAAAGCAAGTGAATCTACTTTTCATCCAATTTGTTCTTGTTCGTGCTTTCAAGGAAGAGGATGAGAATATATCACTTTATCACACCAAATTCCAACATTTAAAATTCTGCTCAATTAAGACTATTTCTAAATACACGCCACAAATATTAGAGATTTGATACTAAAGGATTAATTACTGAGTGCATTTAGAATAGTTTTAATTTTATTTACACACTTTTTGCAAAAATAGCAATGCAGTTCTTCATTAAGAAGGCATTTGGGTGAAACATGCCAGCCAACAGCTATACAAGAACCATATAACCTCTGTTGATAGAACTGGCTCTACCCAGAAAATAGGTGGCTGCTTGTCAAGTCACTCTCCTTATATGAACAAGATTGGTAAATATGGCAATCGTTCAGATGTGTTGAGGGAAAATATGTAACCCGCCAGTGCAAATCTCTTGGATCTTATTGCCAAGCTATAAGGCTCCTAAATGTCTATCTGGACTAAATTTGTTTTCCATTTCTTAAAAGGGATTTAATGTTCTGACAAACCATCTGCAGCAGAGCTGGACTGCATGGCTGGCTCCTCGTGTACCTTTGAAATACCTACAACTCCACGATCCAAACCACGTGGTCCCCGCAGAGCCGACGTTGCCCTCCAGTTTACAGAAAATACTAAGAACCAACCATTTCTAAATGCTGTAGCTTGCAACTGCGGGTCACGCTTACGTCCGTATCTTCATACTAACTCCTACTTCTGTCTGTGTGGCCATCTTCCAGACTTCTAGAAAGCCCGGGGCCATGTGTGTGGCTTATTTTCAGTAAGAGCTTATAGGTCTTGCTGGCCTCTGCATCGTTTTTTGGTATTAATCAAGACCATTCCAGCTGCAATGGCAGAAATCCAATAGGCTCATGAGCAAGTTCATGGTATGAAGTGTGGAACCAGGTATGATGCCAAAAAAGCCTTCAGACTCCATTTGTTTTATTCTTCCAAATCAGCTTTCTGCACAGGACAGAGAAATGTCACTGTGGAGAGAGAGCATGCATGCCACAAACTCGCTCTTTTTTGTTTCCAATTTCAAAAAATCTCAGCCTCCAATGAACTCAATTTGGGCCAAAGGGTGAGAGAGGTACAATCTGCAAGATGTTAGCAGCCTCCTTTCAAACAATGACAGTGATGAGGATCTCCCTCAAGAACAGAAGTACGAGGCCGCCTTTCTTTTCATTGTACTCACCTTCCATATCCATCCACGGCAAAATCGCAGCAGTGTGGATTTTGTTGCTTGGTTTTGAGAATCTACTACGGTAAGCACTCAACAAGGCACTTGTTTAAATCACGTCAAAGTCCAGCGGTTCTGTGAAGTAGGAATTACCTCAGTTTCAGATTTTTTAAAAACACAGAAAAATAAAACAAAGATTACACTTTTAAGGCTTTTATTATTTACTTTCTTTTTAATTTGAAATACACCAAGTGACATACGACCCGCTGCATCCTGAGCTGCTGTGAGCCCATACTGAAGTCACAGAAAAATAAACAGTGAAGACCAACACAACTGGCAATACTATAATTTATTATCAACTTTTTCATGTTGAGAGAGGCAGGCAATTTTACAGCACCTGTAAACACGTCAGTGAGAAATACTACTCTGAGATTCTCCACACTTTGTATTTTGGAATGTTAGAATACCACAACCTCAACTGCATTGTACAACACTTACTGAAGGCAAGTCATAGAGTAAAAATGTATGGCTAAAAATATTCATAGCAGCAACTTTTAAAAGATAATTTTATTAAATGAAGTCATTGCACTTGGTCATTTTATTGCTACAGCAAAACAGGCTATTAAATTACAACACTTATTTCTTCTTTTAACTGATTGTCGCTTTCTGCTCGTAAATTTCAAGTTTAAATGCAAGGATACAGTATGATGCTTACCACAAAGGCTCTTCCCCACACCACCCCAATCACAACATGGAACATAAGAATCCTCTGTTACACACACCCATTCTCTCTTTGCATGCTCAGACCTACGTTTTATAAAGAGGTAAGTAACAACTTGGAAATAAGACAGAAGCTCAGTGGTCACGCAAAAACTATTCATAATATTGGAATACAATTAGGTTAGCAGAATAACAAACGTAAAACAATACATTCACCAATCATTTGGCGAGGACAGATTCCATGCTGTTCATCTTTAGTATCTGACATTTATATTCATGATACAAAAAATGGATTCTTTAGTGATTTACTCCTAGGTAAAAGTTACTATTATTCCCTATCATTCTATGGACTAACCTCTGTGAATGGGTAGAAAGTTACCTTTCTCAAGAGCAAATATGGGTGAACTGCTAGAATAATAGAAATCATAGTTTTTTTCTTTTTCAGTTTAGTTTCCTTTCCTGTTTAGTCAAAGGCATAGAAATTTAGACAGGGGCATAACAATACTTTCGTCTTGAGTAAGTAAAGGAAAAGGAAAAACTTAAAATATATTTTAGTACTCAGGACCATCTTGACTGTACACACTGGTGAGAATATGACCAACACAAGCCGCTGAGAACAGCCTGCAAGCTGCTGGCCCCTCCAATACGCCAGCACTGTGGCAGAGGAAGCCCCTGGCAGGGTTCCCATGGGGATGGCTGGAGGGTGATTTCTAGGCTGCACTGCCATTATTTCTATTTTCATCTAGGGCACAGCTATGCAAAGAAAACAAGGCCTCCTTTGATCACCATGAAAGGCATTACTGAGTTGATGAATCATGACAAAAAAATATGACAATAAGTGGGAGCCATTCTTTTCAGGAGTGATCTTGTTAGAAGAGCTCGAAGCCATGAGGAGGCAAAATGTACCCCTCACCGCGCAATTGGCTTCCCCTGAAGCACTGCTGTCGGTTGAGAATCTGACACTTCAAAACCCACTGCGCTCAAGTGGATTCTGACTCCTAGTGTGGCTCAAGGAGAAAGGAGGCAGCCCCAGGGTGCCCTCCCCGGGCTGTACCTCCTCGGGACTTACACCTTCTCCGCTGGCGCACCTGACCGCCCAACAGCTACAGGCGATGCCTAGCCCACAGCATCAACCAGGGCTCCTGTCACTGTGGATGGACATTCCTGCTCATTTCTACTTATCTGAAACCTGCGAAAAATTAATGACACAAGACTGCAATTAAGATTAAAATGCAAGGAAAAAAATAAGCTTTTTTTTTTTAAACAACACAGAATGGAAGCATGATAGTTGGCATGCAAAATCTGAGCGCCATTTGCGATCACAAAGTTCAAAATACTTCTGCATGTGAAAAGAAGGGTCAAATACTTATTTTTTTTAAATTAACCACACACTATATATATATACTTCCTATACATTGAATACTTTAAATGCTCACCTAACTGATCACAGGTGATTCAGCAAAAAACTAATCTGTCTTGTGTAAATGCACTTTGAATATGGTACTGTATTTGGTTTTAAATAAGTGAAATGCTATTTTATGACACACTTATTGTCTAAAATGACAGTCCAGAATCTCTCCATCTTTAACTGGATCAACCAGGTTATTACACATCACAAAACCTGAGTATTTAGATAATAATTTGCCAAAGTATGAAACCTCACACTGACATTATGACAGTTTTGAGTTGTTTCCCTAGTATTACCATTATTAAAATCAGGAAAGGCATGTAGAATTCAATTACAAAGTCACGAATGAATAATATCCAAACCTCAAAAACAAGCAGAAAGATACAGCAATACCGCCGGTAGTTGCATATGATGTGCGGTCATCGTTTTTAGGCACACCAAGCTAAGTAAGGGCTACACGACGTTTTTGATTCCTCAGATGGAATGAATTTAAAACAAAGCTCTTATTTTCCCCAATACATTAAACAATCTAATACATTTTAAGTAAATTCCTTTTGTGAATCCTATAGTGCAAGCAGTAAGAAATAATCCCAAAGTTGAAGAAGTTATTTTGACCATTTCATTGGTTATTACTATATGCATGGGTGAGTAATCTGGTTTATGCCCAGGAAACCTCTTTTTCCATCACCCACAGTATAAACAGCATCGCAGACAAACAGGCACAGCAGTGTAGTCTGGGTAAGAAAGCTAAAGGTAAAAAATATATATTTACAAATTTGATTTCCCTTATGCATTAGGGGAAAGTAGTGACTGTAGCTATTTTAAAGCTTGTTTGTCCCTCTCAAATAGTACATTTTACAGATTACTTGTAAAGATACCACCATATTTATAGTATAGAGCTTTTTAAAAATAATACTACACATTTCAATAAAAAAACTATTATGAACTTTCTTTCCTTTTTATACAGATTCAGTAGTATTTTCAAGCAAACAAAGATTTTTTTTTGTAATTCCAGCACAATAGAAATAAGGCCTCTCTTTTAATATTGGCAAAACAAAATACATATAAAAAATTCACTATCCTCAATTTCTACAACTTTTGTAATTCATTTTTCTTTATCACAACACCAGCATTTGTCATTTTTAAGTAACGAGTCAGTTAAAATTAATAGTGTTGCATTCAAATTGCTGGAGCATTAACAGCACTAGGTCCATGCACCCTCAGGAAGATAAGACTGCTTTCTTCAGCTTCTCTACTTCCACCTACAAGACAAAAGGAAAATTAAGCAGTAGATAAGAAGCTTTCTGGTCCTAAGGTTTCCTTCTTGGAGGGTAGAGGCGAGCGAACATTGGTGATTCAGGAGAATTCTTGATTCCTAGGAGGGAGAACAGGTTTGATTCCTGGCAAACATACATCCGGTGTAGGCAGCACCCATCTGTCAATGGAAGCTTGCATGGTGTTACCTTGCTGAATAGGTCACAGCAGTTTCCAGCCTAAAATAGACTAGGCAGAAACGCCTAGTGATGTAGTTCCAAAGACTCAGCCAATGCAAATGCAATGAATCCCAAAGGTCAAACCCATTGAGCATGGGATTGGCATGTGCTAGGGGTTGTACTACGGTTTCTTCTATTTAACCCTGTCATTCATACCTTCTAGATTTTATTTCCATGGGGTAGCAAGCATGAAAAAGTTTCAAAGGAGAAGAAACTGTCACACTACGAGTTTTTATAATGGTAGAAGACAAGAAAAAAAACAAGTATAGTCTTTTCAGCCAGAACAATGTTATACAATGTGGCAGTTATATAATCGCTTGTCAATTTGAAAGGATTAGGAGTGAAGGAGTGGAGTCTAGCCTGTCAATCAGGTCATAGCCAATGAGGCCTGTGTGGGTATGGCCTTCTCCTGAGGATTCTGGGAACTCCTCCTTGGAGGCGGGAGACACTCTCTCTTTCTCTGCCCACTCCCTGGGAGACATTGCAGCTGACAAGAAACACGGAACTACATTAATGTCCTGAGTTGGAGGAGCCACATGGAGATTCCTGCCAGAGCTGAGATGCTTACAATGCCACTGGATCCACAAGACTTCCCACCCACTGGCCTGTGATCTTCCTGCATTCCGTGTCACTGCATGTGTTTCGTTGAGTCTGAAGAGGGCTTTATAAATTGGTCTCGGACATATGGACTAATATTGGACTTATGGACTTGATCTAGACTGGACTGGGATGTTTCTCAATATTCAACTGCTCTTGTATATAAAGCCCTTTCTTATACACCTATAAGTCTCCCTGAATTTGTTTCTCTAGTCTACCTGGACACACACACACACACACAACAAAGAGTACTTGAAAAGAAGAGTAAGACGATGAAATTCCTACAAAGAACCCGAGACCAAATTAACAATTATAACTGGACTTAAGAATAATCAAAGGAGAAAGTGCAGAACAGTCAAAGAATAAGGGAAAGAACAGGCTGGTTCCATTTTTCCACTAATGAAGTTAAATCACTTAACCTCAGTTGGTCATTTTCTCATCTGTAAATAATTATATCTTACATTAAATTATCCTCAAAACATAAGAATATCTCTAAGACGCAGTCAATGTGTTGAAAATATTCTCACCATTAGGCAGAATGTATCATTCATGTAAGAGAAATTCACAGCTTTAGGAACAAAGGAAGAAAATTAGTTCAACAAAGTTTCACAGTAACTACAGAGAGATATTTAACTGTGATCTGTCACAAATGATGAAACTGAGGCTCCAAAAGATGCAGTAGTGTGCAAAGGGTTACATGTCAATGCAGGACTTGTATTAGTAAAGTCTCGGGCTCTGCAGCCCACGCTATCCAGACTCTATGTTTGGTTAGGGTTTCACTCGCCTTTGGCTGCACGTTATCGAAACAGGAACCCCGGTGAGTTACTGTTGGGCACAGTGAGTTAATGTTGGACTGCTAACTACAAAGTCAGCAGTTCAAAATCACCAGCTCCTCAACAGGAGAAAGAGGAGACTTTCTACTCCTACATAAGTCTTGGAAGGCCACAGGGAGAGTTCCACTCTGCCCTGTAAGGATCACCATGCGTTGGAATTGACTCTAGGGAAATTAATTTTTGTTTTGTCCACGGAAATATCTACAGCTTGCCTCCTCCTGACATCACCACTGTCTTCAATATATGCAAACAATGCATGCTATGGCCAAATTTATTAATTTTACGAGTTTCCCTGGTATTATGATTTTACTAATATGATTGAGCAGCATTGGTTTGGGACAACCCTTACTCTTCAACTGGATCGAGGGGAGATGCTTCAGTTTAATTCTGATGTGGCATTACTGTCTTCATTCCAAAATACTCATTGTCCAACTGTATCAAACTTAATGGGTAAGGATGCAGGGAAAGCAGTAAGGGGGTGAGGGGTAGTGGAGAGTAATAGAAGTGGGTATAAGGAATAAGCCCATACACAAAGTCTGAGGTTCTCTTTACAGACTGCACTTTGTAACATAAAAAATTTAGTTATCAAGTAAATACATTGCTTGATTTTTTCTTATAGCACTTCTATGTTCATTGTTTATGTTCAGTTCTTTCAATCACTTCCCAATAAACTTTAATACTATATTAATAGCTCAAAGCACCTTTATAAACTTTGGAGAAATATTTCTTCTTTAAATGTTCTTCTTAAATGATCTTAACATTTAAATGCTTTAGTAAGTGTGCTTTTACAAACACAGGGGTCAAACTTTAACCATTAAGGGAAAAAGTTATAATAAAATTCCATGAGATCTAAGTCAATTAAGGAACGGTTGGCTTTGGTGGAATAACAATCACATCTATTAGGAAATGTATCAAATTAAATAACTCAAGATAGAAATAGCTCATTTTATTCTTGTCATGATTTCCATGAAAATTAAATCATATATGTATATTAAACACTACATTACTTACTACTTCTATGTAATAAGTACCTCATTTCCATGTACAAAGATAAGTACATGTGTTCATAAAGTGTGAAAAAATAAAAGTCAAGAGACTAAGATAAGTATATCACTTGTATTTGTTATAAAACTAAAAAAGAAAAGTTGCTGTCAAAAGTCAAATTTATTCAACTCATGGACAGGTGAATTTGGAGGAAGAGAAAATTAATGAAGGTGGGGGTCTGAGAGCTGGGCCTTGAGACTCTCCAGAAAATTAGCATGGGAAGATTTGGCAAAGGGGTAATGCAATAAATACAAAACTGCAATAAACATAATACAATCCAAACAAAATTTCCTATCACGGAACGGCCAGGGTTAGCCAGAGAGGAAATAAAGAGGAGCCAGGACTGAGACATAATCAAGCAGAGTTTGAACTTCATTCAGCAAGCAGTAGAAAGCTCCTGAAACTATCTGCACCAAAAAGATATTTGAAATAAAAACTAGAGAAACTGGAGCAAGCTAAACAGAACAGGCCAGAAAGTGGTGAATAATGAAGAGAGAACTGTGAGGGCAGAGATAATAGGCCTGAAGTAATAGACATAAAACAAAGTTTAATTTTGCATGATTAGACGAGCAAATGTACAATCAGCAGAAATGGAATCAGGAAGATGATGAACTTAACAGAGAACGGGCTGAATGTGAGTTCATAGTGTAACACCCAAAGGATTTAGTAGCTGGAAACACAGAACGGAAGCTGAAGGCAGAATAGTTAAGATACAGAGAGGAGATAAACTAGAATTGATGACTAGCTATGTGGGTTTAGATACCCAGAGAGTGGATATTAAGAGAGGGTTTCGGATGATACTGAGAAACAGCCACATCTGGATTATGAAGAGTGGTAAAGATGTGGAAAATTGCAGAAACTGTCAAAACATTAGATTTGCCATCAGCACAGCTAAAACTTAAGGAGTTAAGCATGAAACCGAAAAGTTCAGCGGCCATAAATGTGGGTGCTTGGTTTGGTTGCTTTGGTGTACAGTCAATCAGCCCTCACTGAAAAACAGAAGGGTGGCAGGTCGTCAAGAAGGCAATGCGGCCTGAAAAGGGATTGTGATTTTGAGTAAGAGAAAAATATTACCATTTTCTTAGACAGAATCAAAGGAACAAACAGGCGCCAATTCATATATGAAACTGAGATATCTGATAACTTATAAACTATATCCACACACACATTGTCTTAACAACTGAAGTGTAGAGGAGGCCAGACAGGTTAACTTGTAAGAGGAAATGTTCCAAAGTCTGGCTGTTTTTGTTAAAAAATTTCAACTCCACAGCTATTATTTAATCAATTCTAAACCCTAGTATCCTTATCCCTAAAATTGGGACAATATATACTGCTTATTATGTATATCTAATGAAGATATACCGATATGCAGAAAGTGTTAAGACTAATAGGCACACAGATAAGAACTCAACTTTAGTCACTACTGTAATCAAGAACTGAAGCTTAACTGCAAATTGCAGGTTCTCCATCCTATGCTGACAAAAGAAACAGAGAGTGCGACCAGGTGAAAGGAAAGAGAGCAACAGACTTAAATGGAGACTGGGAACAACTTCGGAGAACTGCAGGGCACAGCTTTCTCTAAGATGTGCAGAAAGAATACAAATGAAGGCTCAGGGTGAAAAAAGACCCAAAACAACAATAATCACAGAAAACCCCAATCACGTACAGCTCCAAGCAGTGTTTAAGTGCAACAGATCTGCAGTTAAGACCCGTGAAAGGCAAGAAATGTGTAAGTGGTATTCACCAGCATAAGAGTTTGTAGCAAATGGAATTAAAGGTCATGGAATTTTCACAATAACTTTTTAAAGCCTCCTAATATAGCTAATTCCTCACCCAGTGACTGAGAAAGCTAGTGCTCGACAAACACTCGCTGAATGAATAAATGGAATGTGACAGGGAGTCAAGAAGAGATTAATTAAATGGCTATCAAGCAGCAGGGAGTGTCCAGCTGAAACAGGACAGCACAGTTTGTAGTGTAATAAATCACCTCACTGGGCTGGAGGAGAAAAATCCCCAATATATGCTGGCCAAAATCTTAAGAGAGTAACTAAATTACCTCTAGATAACTTCTCATTGCCTTCTCTTCTTCCAAATCTTTCCGTAGTTTTTCTAGTTCTTTCCTAAGAAAAAGGTATTTATTAGTGCTAAGTCTTTCCATTTAACAATATATTTGACTAATATTAGCCAGATCTGTGTTGCCTAGCCTCTCAGACATAGGAAAATGTTTACAAGGGAAAAAGCCATGCTGACTGAGAAAATCTTCCTATTCTGCAGTTTGAATGGTTCAACATGAAAGTTAAAAGTTTCACAATACCATGGGCACGTCATCTGAGATTTAAAAAATTTACAGAGCACCTCATTATTAAACAAACAAAAAAAATAATAGCTACATATTCAGCTAGTATGTATTTCCTAGGACAAAAACTCTACAGCCCAACTTGGCAAAATGAATGTCAACACATCAGTATAATGCAAATTACATATATGGATTTATGTGTTTCTTTCTTAAAAACAATATTAAAAGTGAAATATTTCAATAAATAAAAGCCCAAGCTGAAAATCTCTCTTCCTTAATTCATGCTTTCATTTCCCTGTACTTATAATCCATCTTTCATAGTTTTTTCCCCCTCAATAGCTCTATGAAAGTATATATTATGCCTTTTTATAAATTATTTTAAAACATGTTCATGTAACTAAAATCTTCATGTTTATCACATGTTTGGGGGCATTCTAGTATCCTGTGCATGCATTTTGGTTGGGATGAAAAAGGAATATGAGAAATAGGATTTTATACAACACGCGTACTTCAGTATATAAACTCCTACATCAAAAGCATGGACATTTTCAGATTCTTAATATATACTAAATTCTCTTCAAGAGCATTCTAGAAAGTACTTAAGAAATTCATGAGAAGCTTCACAAGAAAAGAATATATATGGTAAGGAGGAGGCTTTAAATTATTTAAATAGTTAATGTTGCTAAACAGATTTATTTATTTTTTTGGACTGACTTTAATGATTTAGAAAACCTTTCTTTTTTTTCAATTTAAATTTTATTTTATTGGGACTCTTACAGCTATTATCAAAATCCATACATATATCCATGTTGTCAAACACATCCGTACATATATTGTTATCATCTTTTTGCAAAGCATTTTCATTCTAATTTGGCCCCTGGCATCAGCTCATTTTTTCCCTCTTCCTCCCCCACATGCCCCTTTGATAAATTTTTTTTTTTCATGACTTCACCAACTTTTCTGTTTCTGTGCCCCTGAGATAGGGGCCATAAGTCAAGTTCCCCCTTACTCCCCACACCTCACTACCCTTAGCCTCCTAGTATCAGTGCTCCCCTTATTGGTCCTAAGGGGTTTATCTGTTCTGGATTCGAACATGTTCTGGTCTAGCCAGATTTGTAAGATAGAACTTGGGTCATGGTAGTGGGGTGTGGGGGGTGGGGTGTGAAGCATTAAAGAACTAGAGTTGCGGTTCTTAACCTGTGGGTCATGACCCCTTTGAGGGTCCAAACGACCCTTTCACAGGGGTGGCCTGATTCATAACAGTAGCAAAATTACAGTTATGAAGTAACAACGAAAATAATTTTATAGTTAGGGGGGTCACCACAACATGAGGAACTGTATTAAAGGGTCACAACATTACGAAGGTTGAGAACCAGTGAACTAGAGAGTAAGGGTGTGTGTTTCATCGGTGCTATACTGCACCCTGACTGTTCTTCTCTTCCTTGTGGCCATTCTGACAGGGGCTGTCAGTTTTCTACTTAGTATGATTTTTGAAATAATGAACGTTTAACTCAAAAATTTATCTAGAGTTTATGTTCCTATGTGAAATTAAAATGTACATCCAAGTTAACTAGCTTCATATTCCCATACAGTTGTCTCTTAATTAAATAATGCTTTTATCACCAATTATTCTATATGCTGAGCTTATAGATTTTTATTTTTATTCCTAAAATATTTATCCCATTTTATTTCTCCATATTTATAATAGTAGTATTCTAATTATTACTGTCTTATGATCTTATAATTTAGAACGCTCATATTTTAATTATCCATTTTACGAAAACATTTACAAATATGCAAAGTATGTTTTCTTTTAACTAGAACAAGATCTCAAGCTATACATTTTTGTTTATTTTAAAATGAGTTTATTACAGAACATTTGTAGGACGGCAACAACTTCTGATTTGTCATTAAAAATATCCAGTTTTTCCATGCTGTATAATAAAGGTAATGTAAGAGGTTATAGTTATAAGCTGCTTTCTATGGGAATTCTATGCTAGTATAGCACAGTGTAGTCATTTCTGTACTGCTGGAATATATTTTAAAAGTCTTTTGTTTTTCTTCAAAAAGTGATGAACTGAAGATGGCATGAAAAAAGCCCTTCCACGCCCACCCCTTTTTCTTATTCATCCTGTAGTATTTGAGCTGGTATACAACGTTGGCTGTTCAAATCCAACAGATGAAGCTGCCTCCTCCTGGAAAGATTACAATCTTGAAAACCCAACATAAGGTCGCCATGCTCCGAATCGACTGGATAGCGGTGAACCTGACCAGAAGCTTTCCAGCCAAAAATTACAGGTACATGTTTATCTTTCTCGTAATTGAACTGAAATATGTTTTCCAGCTCAAACATTTTGTCTAAAAGAGAGTAGCACTATTGATGAAAATTTCTTTTAAAAGCACACTTGTTCTTACCAGAACCTGGCCAACTATATTGTCACTAATTATGATTTGAAAGAATTCTTTCTCTCATTATAGAAGAAAATAAAGTCAACTTACCCATGTTCCTTTTTCAGTGTGTCTACAACGCACACTAACTCAGAAATCTGTGCTCTAAGTTCATCCAAAGGACTTTTTTTCCCATCGTCTGTTACTTTCGCTTTGCTTTCTAATGGCGTTAGGAAAGCAGTCGCATTTGGTTTAGATGAAGCACTTGTAGGTGTGGAAAGATACACAGGTGACTGAAAGATAAAAAGTACGCTGGTTGTGTTCCTTCCTTCGGGTGTTATTTGCAGTTATATTTAAATCATGCTGAAGTTCAAGTGATTTTTATATTAAAGAGACAGATATTTTAAGATATCAAGATAAAAGGTAAATTTTGAACTTCAAAAAGCAGTATGCTTTTAAACTGAAGAACATCACCTAAAGAAAAAAAATCAAATAATCTGTAATTCCTAACAAATGGAAAAAAAGTTTTCTGAAAAATGCCACAAGGGACTATTTTTTTAAAAGGTCGACGACTTATCTTACGTTTTTATGGCTAATAGAGCTCTTAGAGCAAAAATCTATCACAATTATGAAGATGTTATTCCTGTCCTATGTATTAATATTTAATGTTTCAGATACCTAAAGAGCTTCATTTAAGAGTAATTGAAAACAGTTGGAATAAGCATTTTAAAAAGGATGCAGAACCAGAATCCTTTTATATTTCATTGAGAGAACAGCTAATCAAGTAAATTAAATTACCAAAAAAATTAATACAATTTGAATCAAATTAAGTATATTAGATAAATTGGGGGGGGTATGTTGTAAGAAAAAAATCGAGGAATAATGAAGGTTGAAGCATGACTTCCTTAAATATTAAATGTGCACCCACATCTAGTAATTCTATCTTAAAAATCAGTTTACAAAAGAATCTTGTTCTTGTTCACTGCCTACGCAGGCATCCTTCTGTTGACACTCCATCATAGAAGGCACTCAACAGTCTCTCGCTCTCCCGCTCGCTCCCCTCTGTGTTGAGGGTTCATTGTGTCATTGTGATGCCTAGCAACAAAGCTAGGGAAGGCGTAAAAAGACCTATTTTCTGGTTTGAAATAAAAACGAAACATGTGTAAGTCTATTCCTTAAAGAAATAGGCCTACACATAACATTATAATATCCATTTAAAATAATGTAAATTGTTCTTTTAAGAAATCTGCAGAGAATAATAGTAAGACAACTTAATTTTTATCAGGAATTACTTTACTTCTTGGCAGAATAAATTACTCTTCTCGAAGGGCACTTCAAATCCCACATTGGGATATATTAACAAAGCATCAAAGTATGCAAGTCTTAGACTACCATGTACCTCACCTTTGGAGAATAGCAAGTATCCTTTTTCAGTTCAGATGGTTTTAGGTTGGCACTATCTTCTTCCTCTTTTGGTAGCTTCAATTTTTTTTCGGGGCTTTGAGTAGGCTACATGATTTTGATTTAAAATCAAGAGACAGGAGAGACCAAGAGGAACACATAGTAATCATTTGGATAATGCAACAAGTACCTTTCATCCATCTATGTTCAGCTGGTACAATTCTTTACATTTGTTAACAAAACTACTTAATTTAAAGCTGAATAATAACTATTAAAAGTAATATAACTTGTCTCTTGGTGTGGGAAAAAAAGTTCCCAATTAGGTAATTTAAAGTACCATCCTGCTTAAGAGCTAATAACACTAAATTGTTATCAGTATCCTAGTCAATAGATGGAAAAGTATATAAAGATTATACACGTAGAAATGAGGCCTAGTACTAGTTAAAAAATGAGTATTTTAAGGAAAACACTTTTCTCCTTTTCTACAATAAACATCTATCCCTAAACTGTAATTCATTCTTGGGCAAGTGGATTGCAGAGGCCTCCCTCCACTTTTGACCCTATGCGCAGGGCTAGGGTCTCAGAGCACGCTCGTTGTTGGCAGAGCCTACAACCTCCCACAGCATGAAGGCCCTGTTGAACTGGAACGCTCTCTCTTCCGTAAACCCAAGTACTTGCCTCTTTGAGTATACAGTCATCGTTCTGATTTTTATCTTCAGACGACCCCTGGATTTGCTAAATTCTCTGTATTTCGTGCCAGTAATAACTTACCGATTGTCCACCATTGAAGCGACCGGGCAACCTTCTTCCAGTTATCTTGGGTCTGTTTGCAGTGAGATGTTGTAAGTTTTCTGAAGAAGGTATATCATCAAAATTTACAAGGTCTAGAGAATAAAGAAACATTTTAAAAGGTATAAAAGGATGTTTCTGAAAACTGTAACTTAAAAAGAGTACCACTACTTACGAGTTGAACTGTGCTTTTCATATGCATTTGGAAAACAACACTCACCCTTAAAAACAGACACCATCTTCCCAGTTACAACTCACACTACAGGGTGTTATTAGCAATATAAAGCTCATGCTCTAAATAGAGGAATTAGACCTCAAAAGAAAGTTCTTTCTGAAAGATACAAAGAATACTTGTAGCCATGAAAATCTGCACCGTAAGTTGGGGTAGCAGAAAAAAACTACAATCTTACATTCTTCCTTATAAAAGTACATGGTTTATTCCTTAAACTCCTAATTAATTATAACATAGTAAAAACTTACAAATAAAATGTGTTAAACTTGAAGACAAGAACCCTAACATTCAAATATTTAAGGGATAAATCTACCTGGCACCCTGCTGCATCCCATTTGCATTTCTCAATGTAAAATGAAAACCTTGTTCAACTTATCTATTTGTACATAGATGTATGTGCAGAGTACATTATAGCCAAGACCCAAACTACGTAAGGTTCACTGCAGTTCAACTCAAACACTGCCATGTTTAGGACTCATAAGGTAATTATAATGAAAGGAAAGCCAGACACCAAGAGAGCAAGCTCTATAGATCATCCCTTTCCTTAGGAACAAATGTTTAACTTTGAAACACTGATATATAATACTTCAGCTTATTCTAAATCATAAAAATAAAGGAAGAAAAGAAATCTTACTAAAAGAGCTGATTTTGAATTCTGAAACCCAATTGTCCCTACAAGAATCCTACACTTATAGTGTAAAGATTCCTTTAGTCCAGATTCCGAACAAGGAGATATTAACCACAGCCAAGCTGGTCTATAAGGCAGCACACAACTTTGAACTGCTGCAGGTCTAGAGCCATTCTCCAAGTTACCATTTGCTTGAATAAATATAAAATTATCTGTCAAATATTAGGTGTCCCAACTCAATTATTTAAACGACATCTACAAATAGTATTCACCCTCCCTAACTCACCCTCCAACCTAGAATGTCTGGATAAATTACTTTCACACTCAAATTAATTTAAATATTGGGGGGGTGCACAACATGGAATGAAGGAGGTAAAAATGCTAAGACAGAGAAAGAATCATCACTGTCTAGCACTATGTGTTTTACATGAAAAACTGCTCACTGAATACTCTATTCACTTCCATCTTCTCATCTTAAGATTATATTCTGTGTTTCATCTTGGATCATGACACTAAGCTCATACATTCATTACAAGAGCTACTCTAACATATTGTTTAACTTCTGAGTCTTTCAATAATTTTAAGTAATAGTAAAGTATAGGTAACCACAATAAAAATGCAATGGCTTTAATAATAATAATAATCCAAAAAATCTTGAATTTAAATGGCGTTTCACTTACGACTATCACAAAGAAAATAACGAGTTATTTTTTTTAATGTACGGAAAATATCCTACAGTTTGAGGGGTGAAAGACTTCTTTCTACATTTTATTTTATGTGCATTGATAACATACCAAAAAACCCAATCATTTTGTCCTGTGGAGATTATTTTCAAATGCATATTTTTAAGCAAATTGAAGAAAACGAAACAAAACACATGAGGAAAATTGATGACAAATGAAATAGAAAGAGTGAAAAAAAGGTAGATCATTTATAAAACGGTATTATTATTTATAAAATTATATTCAATGCTCTTGTAAATTGCCTTCCATATACCCTGTTTGGGGCTACAACACCAATACAAATACTTTTACTATTCTAAAACTCTCAGGTTCTCCATTTAAGTCAGAAAGTTAGTAAAATGAAACAGTGCACATTTTGGACTCATAAATATATCTGAAAGCTTTTACGTTTACTTCAGTCTAATAACAGATTTAAACTATACACATGGCACAAAAGATATGACAAGCATCAAAGGCTTACAATCATATTGGCATTTTGCCTGCAACTTACATATCTGTATGTTATCTAGGAAGATAGAAAACATTTAAATCAAAAGAAAAAAATTCCAATTTGGGAAGAAAATATACAGAATTTTACGGTTTGCCAATTAAGAAAAATATTTTTATTTGGAGAATATTTGAAACTAATTAGGAAAATGTTTCCAAAATGAATTTCATTTTATGAAATGGAAAACCAAAAGGGTTAGAACAAATAGACAGACAAACATGTACACTTTCAGTAAAATCACAAAGAAAAAAAATCAGTGTGCACCACCTATTTATACTGTATACACTATTTTGATTTCTTTTAAAAATTGTCATCTTACCAAAATGGAGAAGGGTAGGATAATTTCCTGACACGTAAGAAGGGAAACATGGCAAACAGGCTAGGAAACAAAATCTGGAAAGAAAAGTCAAGGATAGGAATGTCTAGGAAAAAGACTGAACCAAAAAAATTATTTTACAAAGCAGAAAAAAGGAACAGTTGTAGAATGAGTAGAATCACATCAATGATTAGTATATAGTTACCGTGGTTTATTTAAATTTCTTTAAGATGTATACTAAATCCTAGATTTATTCCTTAGTCTTCCAAGTGGGAAAACTTTGGTTACCATTAATTTCAGTAATTACACTCAGTTAAAATAAAGCTAGTTGCTCACTGAACACCAAGACACTTTCCAAAAGAATGACTTAGGGGTTTAGTCTTAGAAAAGATCAATAGATCAATAGTAGTGGATCAATAGGCCAAGAGAGTAATAAAGAAATAGATTGACATTTCATAATATAGTTATAATTAAAATTAGACCACCTTTAATTCAAGTTTTACACTTTGGTACATAAATGTAACTACATTAATAAAGGAGGCAGTTTTAATTCTTGGCTAACAAATAGACAAAATATTATTTTTAAAACTTTACTAATACAACTGAATACAACTTTAAAAATATCCTCACATATACAAATAAATATTAATATCTAGTACAATGTTCTCTACAATGATATATTAGAAAAAATTTTAACCTCAGTCACTGTTCTGTTTTGTTGTTGGTATCCTACTCTAGACACACGGTCTCTTTTTAAAGTGTCTATTACCTAAAAGGAGCCTTGGTAGTGCAGCGGTAAAGCGCTCGGCTGTCAACGGAGAGAGTGGCTGTTGGAACAGAGCAGCTGCTCAGTGGGAGCAGATGAGGCAGTCAGCTTCCTTTAAATATTTACGTGAAACCGTTCTACTCTGTCCTACAAGTTGGTCATGCATCCAAGTTTGGTACACTTAGTTGATTACTCAATAGGCACTTTATTAAAATGTCCCACAAAAAATTCTTTCTGAATAAATAAGTAAAGAAATTTGGGAGAGAAGCTTCAAACAAAAACTGGTCAATCAGCTTATTAGTTGTATGTGAGGGCTTCCAAAGTTCATGGAAAACATAGATCTCAAAGATAATGTAATTTCTCCTTGAACAACACAAAGGAACAGCTTACTGGCCAGAAAGATTTAGGGAAAGACTAGTGGAATCCCGATTGGTGGCCCATAGTCACCCTTCACCAGGGAGGTAGTTCACACATTGAAATAATTGACCATTTGAGAGCAAAGGAGTGGCATTTACCCAAGGTCAAAAAAGGTTAGAAAAGAAACAGGAAACACAATGAGGAGATAAGAAAAATGATGTTACCCTGTGGGGATTGCAATCAATGAGATGAAACCCGAGTGCCTAAATTGTTGAATGTAAAATGAATGATATGCTCTACAAACCTTCACCCAATTCACAATAAAGTTTTTAATCAACTGAAAAGAAAAAATAAATGACAACAGTACTTTTCAAAGACCTTTTTGAAGCTCTTTGTATAGCATAAATGGTTATATATGTTGCTTTATATTACATAATAAAATCATATCTCAGAGTGAAATCAGAAATCGATATGCTTTTTATGTAAGAGTAGAAACAATATTATGGGCGTAACAATGAATGACGGAGGAAGGAAGGAAAATAGCATGTCAACGCCAAGCACTCTAAAAAGCTTATCAAACCCCAAACCAAACCCATGACTGTTGAGTTGCCATCGATTCAATAGTAACCAGAGAGGACCGTGTAGAAATGTTCCCACGGGGTCTTAGGATGTACACTTTTATGGAGGCAGACTGGCATATATTTTTCCATGGAGCAGCTGGTGGATTTGAACAACTGACAGTTTGGATAGCAGCTGAGTGAGTGATCACTATGCCACCAGACCTCCCCTTAGTGAATAAATACACTACGTAACTCAGTTGGTAACAAAAGTTAAAAACCTGTCTATTACCAATCCGGTAATAAAGAAAATCAACATTTTTTCACATGAGTAGAGAAGTGTAGCCCTGTCTATATAATTTCACCTTAAACTGATTTACATAATAATGAAGTGCTTTGAAAGTTTCCGTATAGAGGATATGTTTTAAGTATTCAGAATCATATATGAAAGAGTTGGTAGTACATAATATTTTGTAAGAGCATTTCACCAACCCAAAAATATAACTTGAGAGATACCTCAACTGAATGCTGAATCGGAAGTGTCAAGAACTCACAGAAGTGTAAAGCACTTTTATAAGACAGGCGTTAAGAATTACCGAGTTTTGAATGAAAACATGAAAGCTGCTAAATTTAGATTTTGGACACTGGTTATTTGCTGCCATATCTCTTATTTTAGAATACCAACTGTCCTAAAACACTACTGAGAATGCTAATACTGGCTCAGGATACCTGAAGATACCTGCTGCTTAAAATGAACTCAATTTATAAAATTTATATTTTTGGAGCTTTATACATGTGGGACACCACAAGCAGACAGACAGCAGATGGGATTGAGAATACCAGTGTGGACATTAGCTAGAATAAGTTACAGAACTAACATTTTGACATCTTTTTAAATCTTATTTGCATCTCTGGATTATTTGCATTATTAGAAGGAAAAAAACCCAGAAATTAATACAAGTTTTCGAACACTGCTCCAAAAAGCGTCTTTGTTCTTTAAAAGGAGAAGTCAATAATGGCTACAGATGCCCTTCAGACACCAACAGATTGACTCTCACGCTCACTGCAATCGAGTAGATGTTGACTCACAATGATTCTACAGGACAGGGTAGAACTGTCGCTGCAGTTTTTCTGAGACTCTTAACTGTTCACAGCACTAGAAAGCCCTCTTTCTCCTGAGGATGGGCTGGTGGTTTCCAAATGCAGACCTTGCGGTTATAGCCCAACATGTAACCATTACGCCACGAGGATTCCTCTCAATCGATATAAACAAAGACACAAGTGATTCCATATAAACCAAATGCACTGTCATCGAGCCAATGCCAACTCCGGAGCCGCTGTGGGACAGGGTGGAAGCACTGGGCCTGCGCGTTTCTGAGACTGTGCCTGTGTGCTGGAGTGGAAGCTCCGGCTTTCTCTTGTGATTGCACGCAGGAAATGTTTTTCAGAAAGTAAAAATTTCTTTCAATTTACCTATTATTTTTCCCATTTCTATGATCATGAAATAAAGCAAATGTTTTAAAATGATACAACGCAACAGAGAAATATAAACATTACTTCTTTCCATCAAAATTTAATACTTCAGTGATAAAAGGTGCAAAAAAATTACAGAAATTCAAAAGACTGCATCAATTGGAATTTTCTGGTTTGTTTTCTAGGGGTGAAACTACGCAACTAACCTTTTTTTCCTCCATTATTCTTGAAACAGATTTCTAGCAATCTATTACATCACAAAAGCAAACTGATAAAATCCTATTTTCTATCACTGATTTTAAATAAAAAGGGAAGGCAGAATATTTTTTAATGGCCAAGAAGAAAAGTTTGTTGTAAGTAATAATTTTACTAGTTAAAAATATACTGGCTATGCATGACTGAATACCTCTAAAATGCAACAAATATCTTAATTCCTAGAAATTAGTAATAAATATGGCTTTATCCAGAGCAACAGGCAGTATACAAATAGCAAAGGAAAAAAGTCTATAAAACATTCAAATTAAAAGGATGAAGGTTGTATTTAAATTGAAGATTTTGGACTGGCAACTGAAAAGAGGATAAAAACATACAATTACTTTGGTAAAAAATTGAAATGTAACAATACATATAAAAATATGGTAACAAAAAATCTAAGTATAACGAATCTTCAAGTTGAAATATAAATGTGAAATGCTAATACTGAGCAAATACATATACACATATCATAAGTATATGATATATATATATATATATACAATACACACACACTCAGATTTAAAATTTTTTAGAACAAGTAACAGAATGTATTTTAAAACTCTGCCATCGAGTCGATTCCCACTTACAGCAACCCTGCAGGACATGGTAGAACTGACCCTGTGGATTTCCCTGGTGGGACAGTGGGTATGCACTAGGTTGTGATCTGCAAGGTCCGAAGTTCGAAACCATCAGGTGCTACTCGGGAGATAAACAGGGTTTTTTTACTCCGGTACAGAGTTACAGTCTTGGAAACCCACAGGGGTAGTTCTACTCTGTCCTACAGGGTGGCCATGAGTCAGAATTGACTTTTTGGCAGTGAGTTTCAAACTCTTTATGGGAGTAGAAAGCCTCGTTCTTTCTCCCACAGATCAGCTGGTGGTTTAGGACTACTGACCTAGTGTTTAGCAGCCCAATACATAACCACTTAACCACCAGGATTCCTATCCTTTATATAGTTATTAAAGGAGTTGTCTTTTGACTTATGTGATATTGGATATTTAAACATCTCTGTGGCTTACTGTGTTTAGATGAAAAATAGAGAAAAATTATCATCTACCTTGAGTTACTGTAAAGACAAAATAAGTCTGAAAGTGCTTTGAAAAAGTAAAAAGAAATACAAAGCATTATATGAACTAACCACTACCACCGCAGAGTAACTAATTGCATGATACTTCTAGGAGTAAAATCTTTATCAAATTTTTGTCTTACAACTAACAAGAACAAAAGAGTTAGAAAACAAAAAGTTCAGAGTAAAGAAAGAAGAATGATTAATGGTCCAAAAATCAGTCGTAAAGCTTACAGACTATTTACTTAAGCAGTACAGCTGCAGACACAGACTAAACTGTCAGAAAAGACCAGTTTTCCTGTATTGGAAACCAAACTACCTTCCAGAGAAGTGGAGAAAGAAGAACATTCTTTTAAAACAATAGCTAGTGCTTTCACTGAAAGACAAAACCGTAGCATTTTTTCATTTTTAAAAATAAAACATGTTAGGAAAGCCTAAATTATGTTGTAGGGTAATTCTACAATGCAGAACACACAAATAGATGGGAAATCTTTTTGCATCCATCTCAGCCCTCTGACCATTAAAAAAAGAGTACATGAATTATAAATATAATTTTGCATATTTATTTTGTTAGTTTTTTCCTTTGGGCTACATGTATTTTAAACAAATCTTCATTAACTTCCACTGTATCTAAAATACACATAAAAATGCTTATGCAAATCTTTTATGGTTTCTGAAATCTGTAATATTTCACTTTCTACGTGTTGACTTACCTGTTTCTTTAGAGCTTCTTAATATTAAGGAGTCTAGATCGACTGACTTTGGTCTAAGTGGCAGCTGCTCAGAATCGAGCTTTGGTTTTGATACTGGCTCAGTTTCAAATTTTGACAAAATAGTTGGAACTTCCCCGTTAACCCTGAAATGAGACAAGAACACATATACAAAAATCACTTTCAAGTGAAGCATGACCTTTTAAAAAACTGATTTACAAGGGAAATAGAGGAAAGAGCTGGGAGGCAAAGGGCATTTATAGAGCTCTAGATAAAGACATGTACATATACAAATATATTATATGAGGATGGG